AAGTGATTTGAATCAAGAGATACTTTGCTGACCGTCGATTCATATAATAAGCTCTTCAGAAAAAAAATTTAAACCAATTCTGTTCTCCGTATAAAAAGTCGATTTTACGCTAATGATTATAGAGCGATGGAAAATTCATCAAGGATGAGATCAATAAAGAGATTAAACTTCGTCGACATTTGGGGAAAACAACGCATGACTAGGATGCCACTTTGAACGTTTTTTACTGGTGAATGTAATCTAATTGACGCCTATCCAACTTCTACCCCGACATTCTTGAAGATCAGCCAACCAACAATCACCCGCTATAGTAATTAATTAAATTAATAATAAAAAAGATGAAATACAGATGACCAGAACATGTATTACATCTAGCAACTTAGAATATTTTTAGTCATAAGTCTGTGTAGGTGTAACAAAGGTATTCCCACAACATATTTCCTTGTCTTTAATCGTTGAAAGTGGAAACTTGTATTCGTTTTTTCACTTCAGAATCTACATTTCGATCAGTTATGAAACGGAAACACTTAGTGAATATAAAACAGTTTTAACGATGTAATGCAGAAGACTTTCAACATTTTACTGCTTTAAATTTGCGTACATCATCATCATCTTCATTTTAGATGTTTGGAACGATCCGGATTTATGGTTATCACAAGTTAAACATGCAGGTACGATTTTGCGGCATAACTTTTTTCCGCTGGAAGGTAAAAACTGTGCTATTTGAGCAGGTATCTCTCGCAAACAGACTTAACTAGTCACTGACTCTGCCTGTCTGTCTCATTTTGTTTTCTAGACACCAATAATAGAAACGAAGTTGTTCTGACTGTAAACACACTTCGTGGCAAATCTGATAGTGTTCGATTTCAACCTACTACTACTGTTTATTTGTCTACTGTTATTCTGATCCTGTGCTGTTGTTATTACCAAAGTACTTATGGAGACTCTCTCACACACATATCCATCTGCTGTGAATACTGATCAAAGAGGGTCTATGAACAAGAAAACGAGAAGAAAAAACTGCTTTGTTTTTGCCATTTATATTCTTTGATGTTGCTTTACTGTCTCGTTGCATGTCTATAGAACTATATATCTAGCCATCTGTACGGTATGTTTTTAAATAAAAACTGTGAGAACCTTTTTTAACTCTGTATACGTTGAGACTTGGATTTTTATAAGCATGAAATACTTGAGTGCTCTTTTAATTCGTCTTTTCGAGTTGATCCGATGAAAACAGAAACCATCAGCCGTTTCATTTGTAAGTCTCAACGGAGGTGACACTTTAATATCGAATCAGCAGCATTATTCGGGCAAACAAATACTCTCTTTTCACCAATTAATCGTCTCGTTAAAAGGTTCTGCGGGAATATCTCGTTCCTTCTGTCCTTTTTAATTTTCTCCGAATATAGTTAGAAGAATATGTTAGTTCCAAAGGGCGTGTAACTCAGGTTTGATTAATCGTTTTTTTTGTTGTGCTAAAACTCCTCAGTGATTATTTTTATCAAAAACATGCCTGTTTTAAGATAAAAGAATCAAAATGGATAATAAAAACTCCAACAATAAACGTGGTGCTGATGATCCTAATCAAGATAACAATAACAATAAACGAAGTCGTTCAGCAAAAGTTGATTTAAGGTTTCTTGTTGCTTCACGTGATGCAGGTGCGATAATTGGACGTGGAGGAAAGAATATTCAACAACTTCGTACAAAACATAAAACAATTATACAAGTGCCGGTAAGTAGAACAGAATTAGTATGCAAAGTAACCATTATTATTTTTCTACTTTTGTCTTTTGCAGGACTGCGATGGTCCCGAACGTATTTTGACCATTGGTGGCGAAATAGACGGTAATTGAGAAAAACAATTTTTCGGTTATGGGTAATTAATACAGATTTTTGTTTATATATAGCATGTATTGATTGCCTAACGGATGTATTACCAACCATGGCTGATAATCAACGTTTACGGCAAGATCAAAATGAGCTTCGCGCATTGATACATCAAAGTCAAGCCGGTTAGTTGCTAATAGATAAACATTTCTACTCTGATTAACATAATTTTCGTTTTTTTTCGTAGGTGCAATCATAGGAAAAGGAGGTGAACGTGTAAAAGAACTGAGGTATACTGTTTGATTATACATTTAGTACAATATTGTGTTATTTGTTACAAAGTTTATATCAGATAAAAATCGATTTTATGCTTAAAACTGTTTTATTCTCGTTTGTCATATGCTCTAAACGAGAACTACATTGAATTAATTAATTTTATTTTGTAGACAAAAACATGGTTTGGATGTTAAAGTATTTCCTGAAACGTGCCCTCAATCAACTGATCGTGTTGTTTTGTGTCGTGGAGAACAAGACGCTATTTTAAATTGTTTACGGGAAGTATATTCAATTCTTGATAAGACACCGCCTCGTGGACCAGTGCGATTATATGACCCATTTACTTACGATGAATTTCTTATACAAGGCTATGGTAAGTTGTTTTAAGAACAATATAAATCATATCAAAACAAAAAACTTTTTAGGAGGATTTGCGAATGATGAAACGAGTCAATATCCTGAGCGTCGACAACGAGGGGGTCAAGATGACAGACAAGGCGGCGGTGGAGGAAATTATAATGACAGACAGGGAGGTTATAATCGGGGTGGGGGAGACTACTATCCGCAGCAAGGACCAATGCCAAATGGTATGCGACCAATGATGGATCAGTATGGACAGCCTCCTCCTCAAACGACCCAAGTAAGTCTGGACTGCGCTTACCTATAGTAATCTGAAACTACAGAGTATATCATTTTATCGACTAAAAGTCTTAAACAAATTTTTATTTAAAAAAGCGGTCAAAGGAGAAGTAAAAACACGTGTTTGTTTGTTTGAGATTTGATTCGTTCAGAAATGCCACATTGGAATAGTTATGAGAGATGAACGAAGAATACACTAATTTTTATAGAAACCTCTTTACAGATTCGAGATCTTATTCATCCCTACTACTTATATCTCAACGGAAATATTAATTTATACTATCTGTAATGACCACTCTTCTAGGTAACAATCCCAAATGATTTAGTCGGCGCTATTATTGGACCGCGTGGGACACGTATCTCTCAGATACGACAACAATCAGGAGCTGGTAAGAATAATCCTATTTCTTATAATTCATTCTGTATGTATAATTTATACTTGTTTCAGGTATTAAAATCGATGATCCATTGCCGGATAGTAATGATCGTGTAATAACAATTCAAGGTTCACCTCTACAAACATCACAAGCTCAATATCTTTTACAAATGGCTGTAAAACAATCTGGGCTATATAGTGCTTAAACTGACTTCTAAACAAATTGCATTCTTTTTGCGTCAAGTTTATTTAAAACGCAATTTTTAAAACACTTTCTTTACATAAATATCATTGGTTAATTGTTCTCTCGGAGAAGATTTATAACTTTTATGATCTTCAACAAAACGAAAGTATCTGAAATGATAGTTTTTGAAGATTCAACAAACTATCTGGTTCAGCCGATGTTTTTTATGTTTTCCTTAATATATCTAGACGAAAAAAATTAGATTTTTTTGTCGATTTATATTCTATATTGTGTATTTTTTATGTACTCTAATTAATCTAAATATTGTTTATTGTGGATAGTACTTTTTGTTTTGTTTTTCAAAGCAGTTTAATTTTGACGAACATATTTCAGATTTGGCGCTTTTAAATAAACAAAACAAAAATATAACAGAATGTCAAATCGTGTTTTCGCTTTAAATAGAATACGATAAAAGAAAAATTTTACAGATCGAAATATATTTATGTTTCTGATTCAGATGACAACAAAAATGTTTGATTCGATTCCTGATTGTGTTGGTTATTTAGTATTAAATGAAGATGGCACAATTGCACATAGTCATGGAGATTTAGAGAATAATGAAACAAGTGCAAATTATATCTATAAAATGGTCTTATGTGCAACAAAAGTATCGGTTCATCCAAAAAAATATATAGCATTTAAACGATTAACAAGTAAAGACCTGTTGTTAACAATAAAATGAAACTTAGTTTTTATTTATATTTTAGTATCGGATGATCAATTTGTGTATTGTATTGCATGCTCGAATAATCGAATTTTTGTGGCTAAACGTCGGCAACCAAATATTTCTCTCTAACACTAATTGTGTGTTTTTTTTACTTATAAATGATGTTTGCTTACGTTTTTCTTGACTTTAATTTTTAGCTTTATGTGTAGAAAAACGAAGTTTTCTTATTTTGTTTCAATGAGCCAAACGCTGATTAGTATTCTGAAAAAGTGTATTCTTATATGATGCAAACACTTTCTAATTTGTTCTACATTATAAATATATGATAATAAATCAAATAATCAATTTGTACAAAATCAATTCACTATGAATGGAAAATTAGATCTTTTTCGGTAAAGCAAAGTTCTTTTTATTTCAAAATCAAAAACGATTCATTCAGGATTCCTCGAGGCAAAAGTTTATAAGCTCAGACTTTTAAATTAAGTTGTTGAATACCTAAATAACGAACCATAGCATTCTGAGCGTCGGAAAATATATCTGACTTAATAAACAACATGACAGAGGACGTCACTGGATGGATAAATGGTGTAAACTTTGTATGTATTAAAATTACTAACGCCCTAAGAATTAAATGCAATTTGTTTGCGATATATTTGAATTTACAGAAACTTTTCCCAAGACAGATGCAACGTATATAGTATCAGCTCATTAAATTAACAATCATCGAAACACATGCTAACGAGGGAAATTCCCCAATTGTTCACTCGCTTTCTGAACGAGAATTAGTGGATACTAGATTATCGACCATGCTGATTCCGAATATGACTATGAGAGTTGCTTTTAGGTCTTCGAAGGTAGGTTTTTTGAGAAACCGGCTTATCAAGCTAAAGATCTTTTTCGCCAGTCTGTTAACTTATAATCAGCAACGGTTGCTGATAAATCGAGGGCGCAACGTAAGACTTTTTTCTATAATTATCATAAAAAATTTCATTTGACAACAAACGAGAACTGACAAAAAATGTTTGAATACAAGTAAACTAAATTTTACAAAAATTTGCTTTATACATCTTTTTTTCAGTCACTTTTGTTTAGAAAGGATTTTCTTTTTCGACGACCATCTTCTTAGTAGTAGTAGGATTATGATACAAATGAAAACGGTTTAATCCGACGATAAACTGATGTAAATGAATTGTATAATCCATCGCCAAACAAAATACTTGTTTTTCAAGTTGTATAAGTTTTTTTATTATAATTCTTGTTTTCATTATGTTTTTTTTGTTGCTATATTGTCATTGTCGTAAAGTGTTAATGATGATGACATTGGTAATAGTGACAAATCAAAACCAATCAGATATGACGAACTTTTGAATAGGATTACATACACAGCTGAATAGTGTGATGGATTAAAAAAATTTCGAATGACATATGTAGCTGATGAACAATGTGAAATGTTGACTAGATTATATTTTGGCAAGAGGATTTGTATAGAATTGTAATTTTGTTTTATGGAACCAGAGCCAAAATCCAGAAAGTTGAATTCTAATGAACGTGGTTGGAGTGAAATATCAATCGGATTGTGTTGTTTCTATTTCAAATCATATTCGGCGATTAAATGATAGGTTAAAAATTTGAAGAAATGTAACATATCTAGTGATGAAGATGAACTTAAGTATCTCATTTATGGTATATTGCATTCATCGTTGCCAAAATCTATGAAATAACCATGTTTTAATAATTATTTAATCACATTTAACACGTTCATATCTGTTATGTAGTAAGGTCTAATCTTGATTATCTTCTATCTTATCTACTTTATTGAGTAAAAACACATGAATAACATACACGAAAAATATGACTATATATTTATATACATTTAATTAAACGTACTAAAAAGGAGACTAATGGCGTTCGGAGAACTGAACAGAACATGACGTCACAAGAATATGACATTTACTACTGACTAGACTAATGACATCAGTAGAACAAGAAGGAGGAAGAAAAATCACTATAAACATATGACATAGCATATGACGTAAAAAAGGATGAAACAAGAGCAACAAACGTTGAAAACAGAAAAATAAGACTACTACCTAACATACATTAAATCACATTTAAAATCACTGTTTTTCAATGTTTTTTTCACTACCACTAAATCTTTTTTCACTCCCACTAATTCTTTTCTTATTTCTTTTAATTGTTCAAGCAGATATTTCTGAAATGGATCTAAATTCCATGGTACAGAATCATTTTCAATTTTTGTTGAGTTATCATCATTATTATCTTCATCGTCATAATAATTAGTATCATCAGGTCTTGTAGCTGATTGTACGCTATTTAAATTAAACTCTTGTTCTATATTGTCGAAACGTTTATTTATATCATGGCATGTTATGATTGTTTCCTTAAAATTAATTTTTTGCTCCGGTGTTGCATTACTTTGTTCATCGGTTTCTGAAGTTGTTGATTTTGCTTCTTGCTGTTGTTGTTTATTTTTTCTTTTCTTTTTAGTTTTTGGTCGTAGTGGTGTTTGAACAGTTTCATGTTCACCCGTATCAATAATATCCTTTTCTTTAATAAATGTTTCTATTTCAAACATAGAATATTTGTGTAAACTAACTTCATTAAAAGTTTTAATACTATGTTTTAGTGATTGAAAATTGAATACATATGGAACAATTATTGGGACATTATAAAAAACACATTGTTCATCTGTAAGGTCTAAGAAAATTGAATTACAATCATGTTGAATCAATAAATTTTTTAAATCATCGTAACTTTGATTTTTATATGAAATATCAGGACGTTGATCAACAAGAACTCGTTTGAACATACTGCTATAAAATCTGAAAAGAGCATGTGTTTAATAAAGATTAACGTTTCGAATATTCCATAATCTTTTCCAGGAAAACATTCTTGTTCTTATGATCGTAAATAACGAACTTTGAGCAGAAAACAGAATACGAATAAGTAAGCAATTCAGGGTAGCGTTGTGTGAAATTTTGCCCATGAATGTATGCAAATAGGAGCGAAAATCTAGGGTATCGAACGATGCGAAGTGTCACTTTTTTTACCATTCCAGTCAGAGTCGTAACCAAAATTTTGGTAAGGGGTAGGCATCTGGAAAAAAATTTCATCTTTACCAGCCTGAATTTCCAGTTACAATTTCAGTCTTCGAATATTATTAATCAGATATACACTGTAGCAAAATCCCGGGGGTAGACACGTGAACTGCGTATCTACTCCCTGGTTATGGCCTTGATTCCAGTCCCCTCCCCTTATAGGCTGACGACAGAGGGTGGAATAGCGATATCCTCTTACAAATGAACACAGCTCGTTCCTTACGGTTTTTGAGCTAATGGTAAAGTTAGAAAAATTAATCGTACTTCAACGTTGCTGCTCTCAATATGACGATGTGTCCTGTTTTTCAATACTTGAGTAGTCAGAAATTTTATTTTTGAACCACATTTACCATTATGAAAAGTTATTGAAGTTATTGAACGTTGTTTATTTGGTAGCAATAAAACAGAAGAATATAATAACCGCACGTATGTATGACAACGGCTTATATATGGTAATACTGGAGCTCTTGATTTCTGAAAAACACTGCTTAATTAGAACACATGTTCCTATATTCCGTAGCAACATTTCAATGTTTTCATTAGATAACGAACAAAAAGGTACGCTTCAACTTGACAATAAAACAAACGTACAAAAACCATCATTATCAGAATAAAGATAGTCTTATTCTGAAGTAGAGAAAAAGTGAAAAATACAGAACGCAGACCACTACAATGTACAACGGATGGTTGATTAAGCATTGGACTACAGCTGGTTTAGTTTAAAAAACATTCGGCCCTAGTGTATATCAAGTGCTGTTGTGCTCCGTCGCATCATACAATATGAATATTGATTTTTTTTTCGTTGTATTACCTTCCATATTGAATTTTCTATTGGTTAATAATATTAACAATCATAAATATAAATGAAAGCAGTTATTGAGGAAAAGGTATAAAAACACTTAAGAAAATTTGCGTAATATAACTTAAGACTTAAGTTTGTTAATTGATTAGAATTACTTTGTTGAGGAAACAATTATTTTCAAAAATTAATTAGATTTTCGTGCTCTAATTCTTGCAAAAGCATGAATCTGCGCACAAAATGATATTTGGACTCTAAAAATCAAACGATGTCGCTATGAATCGCCACTAAGACCAATCATGCTGTTGCAGGAAACTACACGCTAATCATTATTGAGATAATAGAAGTCAACTCATCCTAAGATCGCCGGAAGACGGATGAGTTGACTCATTCTCGAAGGATAAATCGGCTTATCTTACTAGAAATTTTTTCCCGATCATTATTTTGTCTGAAAGAAAAGCATTACAGGGTGAGTCGAGAAGTTGAAAATCGATTGTATTGTGTATGTAATATATAATCAAGTTTGACATATACTTCGAGGACGAGTCAACTCGTCTTAGAGGAAATTTTGATGTTTGATGAACTGAAAAGTTTACAGAATGTATCAATTCATCTTTCTGACGAGTCATCCTATAGTCGATTTATCTACATTTTTCATCAGACGAAAAAGTGGAAGGATGAGCCGATTAGTCTAAAGGAAAGAGTTTTTGATAATGCACATGAGATATTAAATATAATAGATGCTATTAGATAAGAAGTAGAAAGTAATTCTTACCAATTTTATCAATGGTAAGAAGCAAGTGATTTTTTTCGAAATATCTGATAGACGATCAGATATTCAGCGCAGATTTTCCTTTTTTAAAACCAAAATTTAGCCCTTTTACAGGAAACTAGCTAGAGAAAATGTACAAGATGAAGAAGTGAAGAAATAGAGAGATGATGTAAGTTTGTTCAAATAATAGGATAAATGAAGATGTAACGAAAAAACCAGTAGCTGTTTTAGGTTCGATTATTCAACTTGAACAAGACAAGGAAGTACAAGCCATTTATCGCAAATAAGAACCTTTAGTCAGTATGTATGATGTTTTACATATAGATAGAGATCTAGCATCTGGACAGTTACTGTCATGTTTGCTACTTTCAAACGTTTTTTTTTTTCCAAATTGTGTTTCAAAATACAGTTTCGTGAAATTTCAGATTTCTAAAGTAAAATCGGTAAATAAAATACCCATATTAACGTATATATGCACCGGTTAACCGACACCGTAGAAACCGATGTACGGTTTAAACCGACACCGAAAAAATCCCAAACATGTTTGTTTAAGGTTTTAAAATGATATAAAGAGTTGGCACATAACATCTATCTACGATTGTCAAAGAAACATCTGATTTTATCTAAACCGGTTTCGATCAACCGACAATCAAAAACTAAAACCGCAAAAAACCAGAAAAAGGCACATACAAATCAATCAAAAGGGTTCAGAAACTACCATTTATCTAATAAATGGTCTTTCTTCAAAAGACAAAAAACGGCTATCGAGACACAAAAGTTCACAATAATACTAACAAGGGAGCGTTTTCAGGTGCCCACCTTCGATTTTAATGATCTTTTGCGGATAGATAGAGTATAAGAAGGTAGTAAAAATCCTAAAAAGATTTGTGCTCTTATTGCTTTCCCCAAAAGTTATAGCGGTGTTTCTGGTTTTCCCAGCGGAAATACGCAAAAATTAAAGAATTTGTAACTTAGTCAGAACGCGTTACGGAGGGCTGAAAGTTTTTTCTATAACTCTTCTATACGTCTTTGATATCCACAAAATTTCAGCTGGTTCGTTTCCGACTTATTGAATTTCTAAGTTTTCTATAGATTCGCTCTAGGGGGTGCACTTTGAATAAAACAGCCACAAAACCGCTAAAATGCTAAAAGTTTTGTGGATATAAAAGACGTATAGAAGAGTTATAGAAAAACTTTCAGCCCTTCGTAACGCATTCTGACTAAGTTACAAATTTTTTAATTTTTGTCTATTTCCGCTGCGAAAAACAGAAACACCGCTATAACTTTTGGGGAAAGCAATAAGAGCACAAATCTTTTTAGGATTTTTACTACCTTCTTATACTCTATCTATCCGCAAAAGATCATTAAAATCGAAGGTGAGAAGAAGAAAGAGCTAGAGGATAAGACGGCTATGGATGCTATTAACCTCTTGCAACCATCTTCAAAGCCAAATACTACCATCTATGAAAATTTTTTGATTGTGACAATGTTCGGTTTCTTCGGTGTCGGTTTAAACCCAATATCGGTTTTTTCAGATCGATTTTTCGGTTTGAAAACCGAAACCGGTGCATACCTAGATTAATGGAAGATTGGCCAAAATATGTAATTGTTTATACTCGATTCAATAAAGCCAAGACTGTAGCTTTTGTCTTCGTTAAATCAAAACTCAAATTATAAATCTTTTTGAGTTTAGCTAAGATCGAAGATCTTTCAAAAACTTTTAGTTTCCGCTGCAGCAAAACTACGGATTCATATAGAGCGTAAGATTTTACGTATTCAAAGATATTATTCTAAAAACATTTATTCTTATATGATGGAGACGCTTTCCAATTTGTTCTATATTCTATAAATATATGAAAATAAATCAAATAATCAATTTGTACAAAATCAATTCACTATGAATGGAAAATTAGACATCTTATTCAGTACAGCAAAATTCTTTTATTTCAAAATTAAAAATGATTTAATAGGTTAAAATTGTTTATTTTTACAATGAGTTAGACGGTGCTGTTTTAATAATTTTCGATTTCCAATCGCTCGTCCACATATTTCACAAAGAACAGACTGATTTAAATGAATTAAATTATGTTTTTTCAAATGATCCGATCGATAAAATGATTTTTTGCATTGATTACATTGAAATGGTTTATATCCTAAACGAGAAACGTTATTCTATAGTTATTAAAGTCAAAAACATAATGAAGATGAGAACAATAGACACCGCTTTAAGCATTTCAAAATGCTTAAAGCTATTGTTCTCATCTTCATTATTAAGTGTATTCACCGTATCCACAAAAAACAAAATGATTCAGTCAAAAACATAAGCTACCCGAATGTATTCTCAGATGTTTTCGATAATAACTACAATCTTTGAAACTCTTTTCACATTCGTGACATTGGTACAATTTTTTACCAAAATGTTCGAACATATGAGCTGAAAAGAGAATAAATGATGATAAATTAATTTTTACAGATATTGTTTATCTACTTTTAAAATAAGTTGAATCACGATAACGTTTTCCACATAAATGACAGGCAAATGCTGTGATTTCTAAACTTTATTATAGACACATTTATTTCTCATACATAACAATAATAACAGTGCATTTTACCGTAATGTGTTGTACAATGTTTTCTTAAACTCGATTTTGTTACAAATTGTTTTCGACATATAGAACATATTTCTGGTTTTTCACCCGTATGATGATGCATGATGTGTAATGTTAATGTATAAAAATTTAAACATTTTGTCTGACATAGCCAACAATTATAATTATTATTTTCAATGACAGATAAATGTCGACGATTTTCATGAACCATTAGACTCGCTTTTGTTGTACATAACATTTGACAGACTACAGATAATATCTAATGTATTGTATTGATTATAGATAAAAATATGAGAGAAAATACCTACTTGTACAATAGTGAATGAAGTTATTATCATTTGTTATCATTTCTGATTGATAATTACATGTCAATGATTTGATTTTATGTCGTTTGAGTGTATTTAAATTCATAAATAATTGATTACACTTTATACATTTTAATGTTATACCTAAATTCTATCATAATGTCAGAGACATTAACTTTTACATGAAATAAATCTCGTAAAATATAGATATCTACCGTTTATTTTCTTTAAACGTGTTAATGGGATTAAAAATGGCTTTGTTATAGTTGAAGTAGTTGATCTATTATAAATAATGATATGATTGGACAAATGTATATATTTATCAACAATAAAATACGTACAATATTGTACTATAATCATTCGTTGATTGTTGAGCTCGATGATATAATTGAATATATTGTTCATCAGTTAATTCATTTGAATTTTTGACAGCAAATAATTTCGAATTTTTACCATCGTTCGACTGAACAAGAACCAAATCAAAACCTAGACGTTTCAAAATGTCAACATTCATTGTTAACAATGACACCAAAATAAGAATCTCAAAAGGAAATAAAATATCGATAAAAAAAGAAAAGTTTTTTATAATGAGTCAAAAAAAATACTAATTCTTTTTACATGTTCGATATAAAACGAACAAACACTTTTCTATCGTTAGTAATAATATCACACTAAACAAGTTGTTATCGGAAATTTGTGCACTACATATTTATTCATCGATTTGGTCTCATTTTATGATAAAATCTATCAGATATATTTTTCAAGTTATTTAAAATAAAAATATAAGTATGAAGATATATAACTACAACTACTACTAGATTAATTAAACGCGCAATTTATCACAGTGATAAAATGATTCCAATATGAAAAATAATCATGAACAACATTTCTGAATTGGAAAAAATATGAGTGAAATGAATGATCATTGAAAATTAGTCATTGTTACAATAAAATAAGAAACTAGATGCTGCTTTCTATAACACTGAAAATATTGAAAGACAAAAAAAGGAAAAGTATGTACACAAAAATTGAGTTAAATACTTAGTTCCATATAACTTGAAAATTATATGTACCGGAGGCAATATGAGCTGTTATCATCTGATTTCCATCATTTATCTCCAATGATTGGATACCAGGAATATTACCGTGTTTATGTTCCATACCACGATGCCAAAGAACTTTTTCGCCTTCAGTAATTACTGAGCATTGAGCACCTTCAAACAATGGTTCAAATGAAATGCGACCATTTGTATTTGGTGGAAGAGTTACTGATAATAAAATTGAATTTGCAAATGTGTCTCGTTCATCCCGTGACCATGATACGTGAACAGAACCTTTGATTGTACTCAGTTCACAGTCAAGTTTTAATAATAAATCTTTCTTTGCTTCACTACTCATCCGAGGACGTATTTCAATTGTTTCTAAACCATTTAAATCAATACCAGCCAGATGAGAATAAAACCACTTACCAACACTTCCATACATAATATGATTTCGACTGTTCATACCAGGGCCTTCCATCGGTGCATCCCAAATTTCCCAAAGTGTTGTTGCATTTTCATATGGATTATTGAATTCATAACCGTATGATGGATAATCAATGGCTGATATTAGTTCTAATGCAAGATCATGCTGACCATTATCAGACAATAAAGGAAACAGATTAGCTATTCCAACGATGCCTGTAGTGAAGTGTTTCTTTCGATTTATGATATCTGTAACAAGATGTTCAAATACTTTTGAACGAAGATCGGCTGGAACAACATTAGGTAATGTTAGTGCTAATACATCAGCTGTCTGCATTCCGTCAGCATAATAGCCTGCAGAATTATAGAATGTTGAATGAAATTCATCGCTTAGTTGTTTATACAATGTTGTATATTCTTCTATATCTGCTGTATAATTCAATAGTTGTGACATATTGACCAGGACAGCCACATCATGTAGAAATGCAAAAGATCCAATGAGATGAGGATTTGTTTGAGGTTGGGGAGGAGGAGGTACCCAATCGCCATAATGTTGATCAAGATTGACGAGACCAGTTCTTTTATAGCCAGTACGAACATATTCAACATAAGCACGTACATTCGGGTAGTATGTTGTGAGTACAGATAGATCGCCATAATGACGATAAACTTGCCATGTAACAGTAGGTAAAGCTGTACCCCAATTTGGATCTGCTGGATAAATACCGAATGTTAATGGAACTGTATCAGGCACCGCACCATCATCTCGTTGGACATCAGTTATTAAATTTAAAAAATTTACATAAAACTTAATCAGATCGAAATTGTATAACGCTTCGTCAACAGACAACGCTGCGTCTCCCATCCAGCCTTTTCGTTCATCTCGTTGTGGACTATAATGGAAGTTTGAGAGATAGAAAAAATATAGAAGAAAAACAAATAAAATTATCTACCAGTCAGTGGGTAACGACATGATGTTGCTAAGTTGACCCCACTGAATATTGTGTTGGATTTGATTGATAACTGGATTCGTAGATGTAAAATTTCCCATAAGTGTCGTTTCGCTGTGCACAACTGGACATTCGACATCCACAATGGGAATGTTGTTCTGGGAACCATAGACAGCAACATAACGAAAACCATGAACAGTAAAGCTAAACAGAAAATGACTTGATAGTAGAAAGTAAACAAACTCAATTTTAGGTATTTAATACGTGCAAAAATCTTTTTCCAAGAGAATCGCGCCAAGGATCCTCTCGATTTTTCCTCAGAACATATTGATTATAAACAATTTTTGACGAATCTGATAGTCTTTCAGACCCATATGGCATTTCACAACCGGTCCTCAGTAATTGAATCTCTCAAGATCTATTATAGATTCTCACTTGCGCACGTTCTGATCTGGCTGGTTTGTGGAGCATATCGAGTTACTGATGCCTATACAATAAAACTTGCTCATAATCAAGTATGCTCTGAGAAAACGTGAGAGAACACTTGGAACATGAACATCAGAATATCTCTAATAAGCTGAAATAGAAATTAGTTATTATAGCGTACCTCGGCTCATAAGTTTCTCCATTTGGATCACCTCTCAGAACATACATATCTGATTGTGTTGCTCCTCTTAAATTGTCCACATAGATATTTCCATATGCATGACTATAATGGCAAAAATGATAATAAAGACATTTCAATTGGAAAAAAAGTCTCACCTATCTCCCGTTGTTGGCAGTTCTAATATTTCAGCGTATCTGAAGTAGACTGCCAGTCCTCGACTACCACGTAGCTTAAATCGACACCAACCAGCAAAATTTTGTCCAATATCAAACACTAACGTATTCAGACTTGGATTTGCCACTGAAATTGGTTTTAGTACGCCATTTGATAACGCTATCGATGCCCCTTTGATATTTCCAATCTCATTTGCTCTAACAAATGTTCTTGCCTCCTCTACCGTATTTCCTGTTTCAATGTGCAAGGCATCGGGACCAGCTCGAATCGGATCCATTTGCTGTAATGTTATTTGACCATTCGCAGTTACATTCACAGGCGGAGGTAAAATCATTGGGGTGATCCAGGCAGATAACGGGTCAGTAAAACCAGGTTTAGTCCAATCCATTCGATCATTCCGACTATCGTACATCTCGCCATTGTAAACGCTATCATGAAATATTGAACCCGCTCTACCCTGCCAGGTTTGATCGGAATAAACCACGAATTCATCCGAATTTTCAAATATGATATGCAATACGAACAATAACCGAGGTGGACCTAAGTAAAGAGTCGACAGTAGGCGCTAGCATTTGATCACCTGGCGTTTTTGGACTTACCATAACCGGGTTCTTGTACGGAAGGTGGAACGTATTGTTCTTGACTATACCATCCATTGCCAAGTTTGACACCAATGGCATTAGCGCCTGCCTAAATTTAAATCATATAATCATACGTTTGTATTGTAGGAAATAAATAGTATTACCTTGATTATATTTTTCAAATCAAATGAAACTAATAATGTTCGTTTTTCGTATGTTGTCCATCCGGGATCTAATTTTCGACTTGGATCAACATTGTCACCATTAACATACAGCTCATAATATCCAATACCAGAAATAAACGCTGTTGCTGATCGAATTGGACTTGTATCGGGACACTGAAACTCTTTTCGTAGTTCATTCATATTAATATCAGTCGAGCCAATCCAGCTGATATCCGCATTCATTAATAATTCTTTTGTCGGATTAAATATTGTCGTTCGAAACGTTCCCTGTGTCCATTCACTTTCAGTGCCCGTATTTGTCCAATACTTCAAACGATATACATATTTTGTGTTCGATTTTAACTGCGGTCCCATGTATGGAACATGAATTGATTGATCGGACTCTATTCGTCCACTATCCCATTTTGAAGAAATATCATGAACAGATTCTATTTGCAATTGATAGGCAATCTGATGTAAACTACGCGATTTTTCATTTGTTAATTTCCAAGAAAAATGGGGACGAACAGTATCTATCACTAAATCGGAATGAGTATCGACTTTTAAATGTTCAATTCGAACATGATGAGGTAAGACGGCTAAACAAAATTTCAAATAACTAACAAGCAAAAATAACCAAAACGTAAACATAATTTATTTAATCTAATATTAAAGTGACATGCAAAAGCATTTAACTTGAGTATATAAGTAATTTTTACCAGCACTCGCAATATCACAACGTTTTTTAAAAAACACTAATTCTCTTTTCTCTTTCCTAGATATTTACAGGTATGTCTGTCAACACTGTTGATTAATATTTATCATCTTTAAAAACAAATATGAACTTATCAATTAAACATTATGTCATCACCGAACGCTTGCAATAATAAACATTTTTGTTTGAATAGCTAGGAGTAAATAATTGACTAGGAATAAAGTGGCAACAGGTGTACACCACGTCTGCTTTTCGATTTTCCTTCATTCTTCTAATCAGAAAAGTTTCTCTCGAATTTTTGAGGTCAAGCAATCCAGCAGATTATAGCAGCAAGCACAAAGAGAAAGAACATTCTCTCAAAAGTTCTTACCGCATTCTCAAAAAACTTACACTACACCAGCTTTTATTCTTTGCCACAGCACTGTCTAGACAGCTTTTCGATGAAGTCGAAAGTTTTCCAATTTTATTGAATAATGTGCTGTACTTGCTTAACTGTTACTGTTTTAGCATTTCATTTCGAAAAGACAAAAATTGATAGATAATTCTCGACTCCTCACTGTCTTGCTATTCTCATACATCCTTAATAAAACTCTGCAATTACTTATTACTTATACTTGCTAGCCTTAGAGAATTCGATTTAGTTTCTGAAAAGACTACCAAAGTCAACTTTCTTGCTTCCGCCAAATCGTGATAAAAAGTCCCGACAAGTATGTGTAACGCGATCGCGGTTATGATCAGGTAATAAGAATTTTACAATAGTGATAGCCGTTTTACCGCGATCCAAGAATGAACGCGACAAATTTGCGAGTGCCATGCTGCGATCACGATTTATTCGTTATTCTTGTGATGTTGTCTAATAGAAGTCGCGGATGTCATGTCGCAATCGTGCTTTTCTCGCGTATTTGTATCGCGATTGCGCATAAACTGCTATGCGCTTTCGCGCGCTTTGACTCCCACAGCGACTACTACATTCTCGCGTTATTCCGTTTTCACTCCATTAGATGCTTGATTTCAGTTAGTTAGCAAAACTTCGCTTCTTGATTGTACGACTCGCATTTTTGACTCCGTGTCCGTGAGTGAATATCAGTCTTTCCAATAATGGCTTAGGCTATTAAATGACGCTTAATAGCCTAAGCCATTATTGGAAAGACTGATATTCACTCACGGACACGGAGTCAAAAATGCGAGTCGTACAATCAAGAAGCGAAGTTCTGCTAACTAACTGGAATCAAACGGATCATAGAGTTTCTAAATCTCGACTTTATACATCATGTTTTACTCGGTTTTTTCTTCGAGAACATAGTGCATTTAAGTCATTACACAACAATTTTTAGATATTATATCAATTTCTCACAAGGGCTATGAAATGTAAGAAAGAAGGAAAATATACCTTAGATCAGAAAATATTCAGTCTCAGATTAACTAAGTTCTTTCTCCCGTGTATTTCTCAATTTTGGTTCGACACACTGACTGGTATCAGATCCCAGAGTTAATAGTGAGATAGGTTGATGATGAGTATTAATCCATAAGGTAACTACTGACTATGTGAAGGAAACATTCATACTCGGAGTCACGGAAGGTAAGATCAATATGATCTTGACGCCCAACATCAGTGAGCTGAATGTTCTCTGCATAGACGTAGAACTGTGCTCTTGTCAGATGTATACAGAAGATCGATACTGACGCCTGTTACACCCAATAAGACACAAACGCCAATGGATGTAGTGCACCAAGGTTACTCATTAATATCATCAACCTTGATGGTGCATTTTTCACTCTGATACATTAGCATTCTGAAACTTTGTCCAGTCAACCTAATTAATTGAAGTAAAATCGCTTACATTCGGTGCTTTAACTGACAGAAACTTATTTCTATTACAGAGCCGGGCAATTCAACTCTCGAGTTGAGCGTCTTTTTATCCGGATTTGTGTTGATGACAGATTTTGTCAACTCCAACTCCGAAGCTCCGGTTCAAAATTTCTTCAACCCCATTTCCTTTTCTTTGTGACCGTTCTTTTTCTTTCGTTCTTATATTATCTATTTTTTTTTCGCGAGAGATATAAACGTGTGCTCAGCATATAATAACATATGATACGCCTCACATCTCGCGGAAGGAAAAAGAACGAATAGATTTCAACTTGGAGTTAAAACGGAGTTGGAGTTGAGACCCTCGCAGTTAGAGTCTAGATTTCCTAGCGGAGTTGGAGTTGTACTAGCCGATCTCTGTTATATTGTGAAAGTAACTTTAAGGGAGAATCAGATAGTCTAACCTCACGATAAACTGGGAATAAGTAGTGATGAGAGTGCATAAAAAAACGCAAGTAAAAAGCTCTTCACTTTGCTATAAAAAGAATGAAGAATGATCCGGTTTGCTATCGAGCGTAAGTCTAAATGTTAAAAGAGAAAAATGAAATGCAACGTGTATGTGATATAGACTATAGAATATATCTACACACATACAGAACATATGGTTTCTCTTCTCTCTCGCTACACAAATAAGAGCGAAATAATTAGAAACACAAAACAATTAAAAAACCAAACTACAATGTAGAGATTTCATCCCGCTTTCTTTGAAGAATCAATCTGTACATCTTGTTTTTACCTCCTCATTAATATAACCGAAAATCGTGACTCACACTGTGACTTTCAAAAACTCTTATATTGTGAATCTCAACTCCATGAGTCGCGACACGAAATGTCAAATTCTTGCTTGTATTATAAATATCTGAGTCGCGTCACGAATCTTGTTTAAGAGTCACGCCGAGAGCATAAGAGCAAAGCACGATTGTGCCATGATTTCGAAAAATTTTGATAAAAACTGTCATGTCGCAATAGTGAATCATGGCCACATTTTATGACTCGTGCGTGATCTTGGCACGACAACTTGTCGCTTCGTGATCATGGAAAATCCTTACTTTCAATAATAAGAATATATCGCGATCCCGAGGGGACATCAAGATTTCATAGTGATCAGGACGTGAACTAGCGTCTTTATCGCGATCACGTCACGACAACCATGAGTGAGGCAAGTGTGTTAACTTCGGTAGTCGTATTTTGATGATAGCCAACGTCAGACGTAACACATAGATCAACGTCTCTGAAAATTAGTTATCAGAAAGCAAATAAGATTTTATCCTCGTTGTACAGAAAGTTTCATCTATGAAGTTATATCTCTAGGAGCAAAAACTTTAATGGAATATTGACCTTTGTTATTTTGAATAGCTAGCAAAGAGATCGGGTCATATATATGTATTAGTTTTCGTCTGCTTTATGTAGAAAAAACAATTAAATTCAGTACTTGAGAGGTCATCTCAGACTGAGAGAATTCGTACTTGTCCCACAATCGTATGAATAGTCGATTGCATGAAAATATTCAAAGAATAGCCGATCAAAAGCGTACTTGTACTTTAGAAGTAGAAGATAATCACTGGAAAAACACATGAAAAAAACATGAACATACAACGACCAACAATAAAAAGCCAAAAAGACAAATAAAAAAATGAACCTAAATGAGAGAAACAAATGTCTAGGATACAAAAAAAATAAGTTACTCAAGTAAATACTATTAACTATGATCGTTGTTGTTGTTTTTCATTTAATGTATCAAGCCTTGATCGGAGTTCATCAGCGAGTAATTCACGTTTGATCTCGGTCTGAAAAAGAGAAACAGAATACTCTATTAATGTTCTGTTTTATGGTTTCGTGAGACATAAACACTAACTTCTTTTCTTGTCGGTACATTTCGAATTTTCACGACATTCTTTTGTAATTCAGATTCGCCGATAATCACGCAAAGATCTATTTGATTTTTTTCACAATATTGCAATTGATCAAGCATTTTTGGATTACGTTTAAGAGCCATTTCGGTCTTGAAACCACGTTTCCATAAGTACGAACAGAGCTTCATCCTTTCTTCGAGAAAATTCTTTTGTGCTGAAGCTACATAAACTTCAGTTTCAGTTGTTTTGGGGGTGAGTTTTGAATCCTAAACAAAGTGACTACACAATAATTCTCTCTATATTTTTAACTCCCCCTTCTCTGCTTACCGCTAGTTGTCGTTCCTTGATGGCAAATATTCTTTCCACTCCAATACTCACTCCAACACATGGTACTTTTCGTTGTTTTGGATCGATTTTGTGAACCAATTCATCGTATCTTCCACCACCAGCAACACTTCCAACAACGACTTGATCTTGCTGCAGCGATGGATCATACTTGTATTCAGTTAAAACCGCTTCAAATACAACACCGGTATAATAATCAAGACCACGGACTAATTTCAAGTCAAGGACAATCTAAACATAAAGTAGTTTGAAAAAAAACATTGCATCGAAGTAATACATACAAGATCTGTGCTTCTCGTACTTTATCCACAACATCGTATAATTGTAAATAACGAAACAATAATTCTAAATCATTTAACGCCTCGTGGGCATTTTTTTGTTTCGATAAATTAGGATCGGTGCGCAGTTTCGCTATCAAATCTACATTACCTGAATAAAAATACAGCATATAAAAATAAAAAGTAAAAATTTGAAAAATTTCAAAGGTGAGAGTGTATTTCTACTCTCAAAAGATAGTGCAACGTTTATTTAGAGAAATACCAATTTTAATAACATACGAAACATACCATGTAATTTAATAAATTCTCCAATTTTATCTGCTACTTCTGGAGCTAAACCCTTCTCATTGATCATTTCACTCCTGACATCTTCCCATGGCATCTAGAAGTAACTCTATCGTACAATAATAAAAAAAACCTCATAAGGCATCAAAGAAATGATGGCTACCTTATCTAGTTTGTCTACAGTTGAACTAATTGAATGAAATAATAAATCGGGCACACCGCTAACAGTAAATATGGCATCAAGTAATTTTCGATGGTTGACCTTAACATAGGAAGTTGTATGTATAAAACCCAAAATTGATCATTCTTTGTTTCTTACATAAACAATAAATGGTCCCAGTGCTAATTTTTCTAATATTTCAACAACGATTTTGAGACATTCAGCATCCGCTATCACTGGATCATGTTCACCGGCTATATCAAAATCCTGTGAAAATTTAAATAATCAGTTTTTCTCCAAGTTCAGCAATGTGTTGCTTACACATTGATAAAATTCTCGATATCTACCACGCGCCATTTTTGGATTGTCTCTTCGATAGACTTTGGCAATGTGATAACGTTTCATATTATAAATTTTATTCTGTGCTAGGTAACGTGCAAATGGAACAGTTAAGTCATAACGTAATGCCAATGCTTCTCCGCTTTGATCTTTTAATTCATAAATCAATTTTGAATCTTCCCCATATTTTTCCGTTAAAATATTCTAAAAAATATACAGTCATCTATATGACGCTTATGTTCTGAAAACCTATCCAAAATTTTCTGGCTACACTCATCACTCCTTCGTGGAAGTCGAGGAAACTATCGAAAATCAATATTGATTTATCTTACACCGATATTCCAATAGCTATGAATCGTAAGTTTTAGTTGACTCTCAGACATACCGTAAATTCCATGACAGGTGTATCTATCGTTTCCGCACCATGCCGTTTAAAACAATCGATAATTGTTCGAAATACACCTTCTCGGACAGACATTTGCTCTGGATGATAATCTCGTGTGCCCTAAACAGAAAAAAATCGCGTAAGCTTAATGAACTTCAGACTTGATGATATTTCTGCTTACTTTTGGCGTTTTAATAGTTTTATCATCTTTTGCCACAGCTGCTTCATCTATTCCCACGTCTTTCGTTTGCTGCTGTTGTTCTTGTTTTAAACTCAAAAGCTTTTGTACCGCGTCATTGATCTAAAACGTAATAAATATCCTTAATATAACAGATGTTGTTTTCTGTAAAAGATTAAAGAGACAACTGTCTACCTGTGTTCTTGATCGATAAAAAGCTCTCTGACATCCGTTCAAAATTAAACGCATAACTCGCTCGCGCTTATACTCGCTAATATATCAGGCGAACGTATCTTAAAAGGAAAAAAAGACAAAAGAATTATAAGTACCTGGTTAACAGATGCCTTTCACTTTTCAGTTTTCGAACTAAATCACCTTGTATTTGAATTAAATCGCGTAAATCATTGTTATTGACTAGAGAATCATTATTAATAGTATCAAGATTCGCAATAGTCATAACGAATTGTTCAACAAAATAAGATTTAATCTATGGAAAGAAGTGAATTTTATATACATATTTCATATCATTTTAAAGCTGCTCCTTGCAAATTTCATTGATATGCAAAAATTTTCAAAAATGAAATACCAATTAGATATGCAAAAAAACAACATGAGACAAGATGTGGATGTGAACGTGGCTTCAAGTTAAAAATACAATAGGTAGAAAAATCAAAGTCACTTCTACAGCCAAGCTGATACAATTAAAAGGAAAAAGACAACTACTTTGCTTTAAGTCCAAAAATGGTATTTTCCTTTTTTGTTCTTAGATGACAATTAGTCTTAGGACAAATTGATTTCAACACCAATTTTCAGCATTTGTAAAACTGTTTTCAGATTGTGTCAGACTAGTTACAACACGCAGTTATCATTTTTTGTCTCTATACGATGCAATGATAAGAGAAACTAAGCTAATAAGTTTAGTCATTACCGCGAAATTATATACAGATCAGAAAAAAAAACATGACGGTTCGCAAAGTGATTTTCTTCATTTTCTGAATGTACAACAGAAGAAAATTTGGCTTTTTGCAAAGTGGAAGACCACTTTGTTCCTACAAGGAACTACAAATCATAAGAAACACTGAGTGGAACCTTTTGTTGGTAGAATTGGACGGAAGTATTCTGAGTGTCTAATCGTTTTCTGGTTGTAATATACATTTTTGATGTAACTTTTGACGCTGATCATGAATGTGATATCCGTTATGCCGTATGGGCTTTTCTGAATGGTTCTCTGAAAATCGATTGTCGGAACAGTGTTTTTAATGATTAGCGGGACAAACGCGAGCAAAATGGGTTTCCATTTTAAATAATGAATTTGCATTCTGTTTTTCACACTGGGAAAAGTATATCCCACTTTGTTTTCCACTTTACTTTTGAGAATTCCCAGTTTATCTTCTTTCATATTTTCTGCCTCAGAAGACTAACCCATCGATCTGTTTGTTAAACACATGTGAGCGAGAAAAACAGTAATAATTTGTTTAATCCTCTAATTTTCATCACAATACGACATGTCTAGTGTCTGAAGATCAACCTAAAAAGGATATTGGTCAAAAAGGATTTGTGACTTCTATCTAAACGTATAAAAGTTTTGCAGCGTTTCTTTTCTTCAGAAGTGATTGATCGTGGTAGAGAAGTTAATTTCGGTCCATTTAACTGAAAGTGGTAAAACGCAAACCCTGCAACGATAAAAAAATCTCTTTTAGCCTCTGTTAGAGAAAAATTTCAACTGTTCCTATTTTGTCCACTGTACGTTTCATATCAAAGCGAAAAATCCCACTTTGACGCTAACACCAATGTGGAAAGTTCCACGAAAAAAATTCCTACTAAAAACACTGTGTCGAACGATCCAATACGAAAAGGTTCAATTGAACATTCTAACAGCGCTACATTGTAGAGTAAGTCAAGTTATGTGAAATTTTCCTAACCAATGAACAAATTTCCATAAAGATGTAACAAGGTCAATTTCGAATCCAGTACTCAAACGGACATTTCGGCTTTTGACATAGTGAAGTTTTGGTATCTTTGTAAATACTTGTTCATTAGTAAGGAAACTTTCTTCACATAGCTTGACGCGCTGTTAGAATGTCCAGTTGAACCTCTTTCGTATTGGATCTTCCAACAACCGGTTTTCAGAGAATCATCTGACAGACACCTACGGGTAGAAACGGATATCACATTCATGATCAGCATCAAAAGTTACATCAGAAAAGCATGTTACAGAAAGCGATTAGACACTTGGAATACTTCTCTCGCTAGACGAAGCTGCTCATATCCAATCCAACTGTTACCTCTTGCTCGCAGACGAGGACCAAATGACCAATTATTTGAGGCGCTAGTCTTAAGTCGCTTTTTTGTAATAATTTTTGTTCAATAACCTGAGTATTGGTATCAATCTGAATTTGGTCAATAAATGCGTGTGATTCTACTCATGAAATGACATTATATCTCCTGACATCTAACGATCTAATTTAATCAATGCTTATTACTTTACTCATATTAATCAAGAAGCCAAATACCAAATAACTAAATCTTCCTTTTCAATGTCACTAGTTATTTGCGCTAAACTGTAAGTGTTTTAGACCGAACTACTTCCAGAAATAGACAATATTATCACAACCAGAAGTGTATCATTAAAGTAATGATGCAAGAAAAAAGGTTCCGATACTGAAGTAGAAGTTAGATGGATGCTGAAGATATCTACAGAGCTATTCACAGCAAGGATGTCGCGACCTTCAGGTTTTTGGATGAGGGTCAGTGGATCTACTCCCCCTAGATTTGAATCCAAAATTGTCACGGAGATGGTACGAAAGACTTTTCCTGAGGAAAAGGCAAAAATTAGACATTATAGTTAGTAATCTTTGAATTCTAATTTTAGAAAAAAGTCAAAATATGTTTCACAATGAGTGTAATCCAGAACTATCCGATGATGATTTCAAGTTCTGGATAGGTTGAACTAAACAGCAGATACTTGATATGGCAGTTGTTGTTATCCCGGTAAGCACAAAAGTGGATGACTGAAATATCTGACTAGTTCCGAAATTGATAAGTTTTAAGAATGTCAGGACTCCATGTCCAGACGTACGATCGGACGCTAATCAAGCATAGAAGTCTGGAGGATGAGGTCCAAAAATGAAACGTGACGCTCGTCCTGATGGGAGAATAAAAAAACTCAGAATTAGCAGAAAGAATTCAGAAATTGAAAATATGACTTTTTATCAATTTCTTGAATTCGAAAAAGTAAAAAATTTTTTGAATTTGTATCGAGTGACAACAATTCTTGGAAATGAAGTATTCAGGAATTGAAAGAACACAAGTTTTTAATTTCAGAAAGTCTCAAATCTACGAATTAGGTGGATCAGGGTGGACTTCTTCAAGTTTCACCGGTTCTACAACAAACATAGTCATTTTTCATCTTAATTTTAGGATTTCAACCAATCAATCGATCCGTCCAATTCTCGCGGGATTCCAATAATTAAACAAATACAGACCTATTATCTATGACAAAAAGGATTCGGAACATCAATTAATTGCACAAAAAATGGTCAGGATCTGTTTTTCCCTGATCAGCACAGAAATCTCCAAGATATTAGTCATCACCTATGAGAGTAACTGCGAAATTTTTCGAAAAATTAGTGATCACTATATACTACGTGATTTAGCAAAACAAAACGGTGATTTGATTATTAAAAAAAACCTAGCTCTGGTGCTGAACCTGACCAATGTCTGTTTCTCAGAAAATACTAAAACCACACAATAAAAGTTAAGACCAGACCAAGATTTACTGTTTATCTGATCAGTAGAAAAAAACAGACTATCTTGTTCTGACCTTGGAGCTGACCAGAACAAGAAATAAAACAGAAAGCAGACATTATGTAAGTACATAAGTCTTTATTCTGTTTTGCAAGACCAGACAAACTGGACATTCTCTAGAGTGGTCGTCATCCGGGAAGTACTGCACAGTTTGCTCTTGTAGAATACAACGGTGTCACTACAAGCGATCCCATCGTGGGCTGTTCTTGTTAATATAATATAAAACTAGGAAAAGGACTATTAGTACTTGTGTGCATATGTAACAACTGTTTTATGGTATTAGGGCTATGCTGGTCATAATGGTGGAGTCGTAATATCGAATAATCGTAAACGTGCTCGTTCATCCATACGAGCTTGTGGTAGAGATCGAGTTCAAGTCAAACACGACTAAATCAAGCTACGTTTTTTTTCGTTTTTTTGATTTCCTTTTATATTATTCTGGGACTTTTATCTTATGTACGAGTACAATAAAAAAACTGAAGTGAATTTCTACTAAAAACCAACAGGGTTCTTCCTCCACTTTTCGCAGTGATCATTTAATAAATGCAGTAATATGTCGATCACAGAAATAAATATAGCATCCGTGTTGTATAGGCTACGTACCAAATCGAATGAATAAAAAAAGACAGATCGAAGACATTCGTTATCAAACAGAAATGGGCATTCTAAAATTACCGATTTTCTTTTACTTTATTGTTGCTTTCTCAATACTGTATTTGAATACGGTATTTTTTATAGTCAAGAGTTGGTATGAACTATAGCATCAGAGTAAATTTAAAAAAGTTAACAAAAGTCTCATGTCAACATTTTCTTCTTTTTTTGTTGAAACAAACTAAAAATGGTAATGTGTGAAAAAAAGACGATAGAAAAACATTGAAATAACAAACCATACTGGAAAAAATAAAACAAATGTTGTACAGAAAACTGGAAAAACACGTGCACATACACAAGATACAGGAGGAACATATTTGGATTTTTGTGTCTACACATACTATCAAAAATCACTCGTTCAACTGTGTAAAAAAAGATTTACATCTTTTAATCGAGTGCAGAAAAAAAAAAGACTCACGAATGCTTGTCAACTTTACCACGCTCGTGTACTAAAAGTATGGGAGATAAAAGGATAAAATAGAAATTCGAGAAGGTTGGTGATAGAAACGGACTCCACTCGAATATATTAAACAGTTAATTCGGCTGATTTGGCAGTATTTGCTGTAACCGATGGAAACATTTTCAAATTTGGCTCAACTTCACGTGTAATAAATTCTGATACCTATTATAAACAAAAATATGACTGTTGTGGATGCTGTATGTTTCGCTCTATAGAATATACCTGCTCTGGTGCACGCCCAATAAATGTTTTTGCATCGAGTAAAACGTCAAGTTTACTACAAAAAACGTGTTTCGATGTTTTTGATCGTTTCTATGTTCAATTAAGATAAAGCCTACCTGACAATTGGCTGAAAATAAGGGTCAATTTTAACCCTTTCGACAAGATCATTATCTAATCCTTCGATTTTAACTTTTTCAGCTGCTTTTTGTGAAAGTGTACGAATTTTTTCATGACACTCTTGCCTGTTACCGCCAGCAGCAACCTGAATCCCAGACGAAAAGGAGCATAATTAGATATCTTGAACGACTTCATATGCATCCACTCACCATAGCCATGATGATATTTTCTGTAGCCATAAATGGTAACTCTTGTTTAATGTGCTTTTCAATTACCTATTCAAATGTAAACAAATGTAGTCATATCTGCTTTGTAAGTAAGTAGAGACCTGCATAGGTTAAAAAAACTCGAACTAGTCCCGAACAGCGATTTCTCTCCGATAGGAGATAAGGATACCTATCCCTCTAGGATTTCTGACTTTCCATCAGAATTTTTGCAGCGCATCTTTTATTTTCTTGCTAATTACTTTTTGCAAGGTCTCTTTTTACTATTGCGCTAGAACGTTAGCTGTCCCAAGACCAAAAAACAATCGACAACAGTTCGACCCACATTTGACTCGTTAAAAAGCAGTAAAGGATGTAACGACGTTGATCTCTATACGGGATAATGTTTCTTGTATACAGAGGCAGCAATAATCGATGAGATTTGTAGACGCAGTTGTTTTGCAAGTAACTGAACATTTCAGTAGAGATTATTTTCAAGCTACAGAAAAATATAAAGTTGAATCGTTTTTCTATATTTTGAACTGTGCCGTAAGAAGTTGAACACACTCCCAATCCGATCACAACTCGACTCGATCCTGAAATCTAATCGATTTCATATTGAGTTGCAGATCTCTAATGTAAGACAAGCATCGTAGATAATTTCACAAAGAATTAAAAATAAATCATTGAACCTACTTTTGGATAAACAACAAGTCCTTCGGATATGTTTTGTAATGTAAATAAAATAATATCAGCAGTCAAAAATGCTTCAGGTATACATATTCTCCTGAAAAAATAACGTGATTAGACATCATCAGAATGACATAGCTTTCATCACTCACTTATTTGCACTGTCGTCTAATGTTCGTTCCATCCATTGAACAGAATGTGTTCCCAAGGTGTCATTGACTAATATCATTAAATGTCGAGCTAACGAACAACAACGTTCACACCGCATTGGATTGCGTTTATATGGCATAGCAGATGAACCTTGAATAATAAACAGAAATTTAACGCTTTTATATATTTATCTAATCATTTATCTTACCAATTTGTTCAATTTCAAATGGCTCCTCAATTTCTTTTAAACTGGCTAATAATCGAATGTCTGTGCACATCTAAGAATCCACAAAAACAGCATAAAGATCTTTTCAACAAATATATCAACTATACTCACTTTGTGAATGCTCGAACCAAAACTAGCTAATACACTTAAAACTTCAACATCTAATTTTCTCGTATATGTCTGACCACATATTATAAATGTTCTATGACAAAATATAAATTGATTAGAGTCTTCATAACATCTCTTTTCGATACATACTTTGTAAAACCGGCCATCTCGGTCACCATTCGATCTAGTTCTTCGACCTACAAGATAAATGTATATGACATTTCCGTTGCTGGAGAGCTGTTTCATAAGCTCTTACTTTCGAATGATCGCCATTAAATAATTGTAAAAAACTTGCTTGCGTTCCCGTTGTACCTTTGACACCTCGAAAACGTAAATGTCGTTTCATTCGATCAAAATTTTTTAAATCCATTAATAAATCTTGTATCCACATGCATGCTCGCTTTCCAACAGTTGTTAACTGAGCTGGTCTCAACAAAAGAGAAAAAGATTATCTTACCGAAACAGTGAACTAAAAAATATCACCTACTGCATATGAGTATAGCCCAATGTGGGCAAACAAGCATAGTCTTGGGCAAATTGAGATAAACGTTGAATACATACAGCAAGCTAAACATAAAGAAAAGAGTAAAAAAGTTAATGTTTCAATTTCTATTGTTACCTTTGTAATCAGTAAATCAAACGCATCTCGCATCACAATAAGATCCTATAACGAAAAGAAAAAATAGATAAAGAAAACTTCTTTTTTTATTTATTTCAAACAGTATAATCAGATTAAATATAGAAGCATGGTAATGTTTGAAACGATTTCTTTTTGAAGATATTAAATTATTACCGCATTATCGCCAACAAAGGCAGAGGTAGCCCCAAGATGAATAATTGGTGCAGATTTTGGGCTGCATTTTGCAAACGTATGAACATGTGCCATAACATCGTGCCGCCTTCGTCTCTCCTCTGCTTCAGCTATATCATAATCAATATTGAAAATATTTTTTTCCATTTCATCCAACTGTTCGTCAGATATATCCAGTCCAAGACGCTAAACAAAAAATAAAATTTCATAAAAACTAACAACTGGACAATGAATGTCGATATTACTTGCTGACATTTGGCTAACCAAAACCATAGTTTTCTCCATGTACTGAATTTTTTAGTATCACTAAAATTGTATGACATTTCGATTGATGCATAACGTGAAACTAACGGCGATCGATATTTTGAACGTTCATCTACCGGTTCTTGAACGGGTTTTGCCACTGGAGTAGGGATGACAGTAGTGCTACTGGTGCTAGTTGTTTCTTTTCCATTTGTGGTAGATTGTTGTTGTGGTTGTTGTTGTACTAAATCATTTTGAAATAGATTTAACAACGATTTTGGCACTTTTACTGTGTCATCGGATGGAGGTGTTACATCAGATTTACGACGAGGACGCTCATCAACCGATCCACCAGGTTTTAATTGATCAGATTGACTTGACATCCGATTCTTCCTAGGTCTAAAAAAAATAAGATAACAAATTGTCAAAGAAATAATCGACGTACAGCATAAAAAAGTACAAGTATTTATTATCAACAGAAAATTAGAGAAAGTAGTAATTTGATTCTCGTTCTGAATCATGTGCAATATTCAGAATTACAAGTTAGAACATAGTCATTAAAAGAGAAGATTTTGTACTATTACTCTGTTCTTTGCTGCAAAAATGATAGAATGTCTTTCGAAAATAAAAGAGCTTGATATGTAGATTATACATTATTCAACGAACTTTTCTATCACAGAATATGTCAATATAAATATGTGATGATTTCACATCTAAAGAGATTTAATCAGTTCTGCTTCAAAAACTCTTGAAAGCTAAAATGTTCTTTTTGTCTCTATAAACTGTAAAACAAATATAATTAATAAATTTTTCTAGAAATTATTAGAAAATGAACATTCAGTTTTTATTTCACGTCAGAAGATTTGAAAGTACTCTTGAGACGCACACGCACTTTTTTTGCTCTTTTTTCTTTTCGTCAGTATGAGATAAAAGAAAACAACGCAGATTGCCACCAAAATTATTATTTATATAAACATCGTATTTCTTTTCTCTCTTTCAGCAATAAAAAAATTTGTACACATGTCTCATTTTTGTTTTCTAGAGAACACAAAACGACGATCTGATACTTAAAAACTTTCTTATTTACTTTTTTATCTTTATCTCATTTTCAATAGAGCAATGATACGTGCGGAAAACATGGAATGCCTTAAACGTAAAGAATGCGCATTTAACAATAACGGAAAAACTTTGCCTTGTTTTGTGCTAATTATTTTTCTTTTATTTCGTTGAATAATGTGACTTATATTGTGCTTTTAAAAGAAAAAAAAATTTCAGAAAATAACCAATTTTCTCAAGTTTAATGGATAGTCAATATTAATTGGTAAATTTCAAACAATTAGGAGCATAAAAATTCGGAAAGATATTAAGTGAGTTAAATAACGGTAACCTTACTCTAAAAACGGATTATTTCTCAAATTTCTTCAGAGAGATGTCATTGAATCAAACAGGTATTAATTAACAGCGAAGAAATTTTTATTCAAAAAAATCAATGAAATATTCGAGTTGAAAAAATGACATATTCTTCCAGTTTCGACCGCTCCTCTGCAAATAATTCAACTGAACAGAAAAATTTAACAAGCACAGAGAAATGGGCTCAACTCATCTGTCTACTAACGTACATTAAACCCATAATATTCCAAATGTTAATGCGAAGTTAATTCCAATCTGAAAGATCTCTTGTCAAAGAGCTATCAATGGCCCAAAAAATGTTCAACCTTTATTACACGTCATCTGTTGGTTCAACAGTATTTACAGTTTATCATTTTGGCAAATTCAAATAGCAAAAACACACTGTCAACAGTTTATAAATAATTACCAAAGAATACATACATACTGAACTGTTTTAAACGTTCAAACTTATTCATATGGTAGTAAGTAATAAAAAAAATATGACTTGTATATTGTTAAGACGTCTCGTCTTCTGAATGATTTTGGGCTTCAGCAATAATTTCTGAAAGATATCTAGAGATGCTGAATGTAGAAAAGATAAAGGAAGGAAGAGTACGAGAGAACGAGATAGAGAAAAACTGGCAGAAAAGAAAATTATATGTATTGCGTAGATCTCTCTATAAGAATAATGGTAACCGTATTATTATTATCATTATTATTACTATTATTATTTTTATTATTGCTCGAAAAGAAATAATTCATCAAACACGGAAAAACATCTCCTGTTTTCGTCGCAAGAAGAGGGGTTTGTCTTTCCAGCTGACACATCTTACAGAATAACAAAACTAGATAGAAAGAAAGATCAATAGGTTAGTGCGGTAAACAAAAACAAAATATATTTATTATAAGCAAAAACTATTTATTTTAGTATCTGAGATCTTTAAATTATTAATAATTCCATCGATGAAAGGAAGATCTGTAAACAAAAAAATGTCGGTCTGAGGGTGTGCAAAATGGTGAAAAACAAGATAATCGACAACAGGAGGTCACGGTAAACTTTAATGATAATGAACAGCTACTATTGTCGGCCGTTAAATAAAAACTAACGATTCATTTTCTCACAGCTTAGTTTGACCATTGTAGAAAGAAAAGTAGCTGATTGGGTAACTTCTTCCAGAAAAGGGGTAATCAACCATGACGAATCAAGATAATAGAACGATCTCTACGAAAGGTAAATGAGTTCAAAAGATAAATATAGATGACGTCACAATTAACCTCGTTTCAATGCTGAAAAACTTATAACGCATCTTTCAGTCAAAGGATCAAGTGAGTTGCAGATGAACGCTAACTTGTCCAATTTTCTGTACTGTTGAAAAATAAAATGATATTTCTGTAAACGAAACTGATAAAACCATTGATTGTGGTTCAATCAATGGATATACAATAAACAATAGAAAAATTTACGATTTTTAACACATTATAAATAGGGGTGCCTCTTCATCTTGTAAAGTAACGCCGAGTAACTAGTAAGGTGCCACCCCTTATTATAATAGTAAGGGACCAGGTTTCATAATTGTTTCGGGGATCGCGAGAGGCAAAGTTTCGGCAGAAAGTGCATTCTAATAATTTTTACAGCCTGTCCAACTCGGGGTGGGAGGACTGATCTCTATGTTCGTGGATAGGGAGGGTAGCCTGGAAGTCATAGGTAAATTTCAAAAACAGCTGCTAAATACATGAACAGGAAAAAATAATTTGCCATAGACTTTGTATCAAAAATATATCTTAAAGACAGGCTTTCTTCCTCCATTCGATAGAGAAAAAGCAAATAAATGCTCAAGTATATCGTCATCAGATTCTTTTGTGATTGATAGGCAGTAGCGAATGACGAAGTCCCCTACTGTGGCGCTTTGGTGACGTCGCATTTTCTATTACACGTCAGAAGTCTAGCAGGAAGTCACAAAACTTGTTTACAGAAAGTCTACAAGTTTTGCGAAACGAATAATAACGTCCTAATCGTGAAGCATTCAAGGAACCAAATCGGATTGTTCTCTTGCAAAGTCCCCGATGAGGAGTTCAACTGCCGGGGAAGGTACGATACCATGTGGGTCGAAAGGACCCAGAAGATGCTACTGAACTTGATTTTCTATAATACAACTCTTCAAATGAAAGTTCAACTTGTTATTTCGAATAAATATGCTACTTTCAAAAAACACCCAACCCCTTTTTTTTGGTAGAAGAAAACAAACCCGACACACACATAAAGTAAGATTTTATTACTTTTTTTAAAATCATTGCCAATACGAAATAAGTTCAAACACAAACGCTATGAGATAAAAGCAAGAATACAATCATTTAGTAAAACAGCAACAAAAACACTCCCAATAGATATAAGATGTTCAATTTACTAAACTACTAGCTGCTTGACAATACCGTAAATCATTCATTCCTTTGAACCAAGCTGACCCTGATATTGATGCTGAAAGATTTTGTTGCTGTTTTAATTGAGCCCAAAGTACAAGATCTGCCAATGTCATTTGATCTCCAATGAGCCATTTGCTTTTTGGTTGATCAAATTGGAATTGCCCATTATTACTGGACAAAAATTGATCAGTGAGTGCCACTTGTATTTCATTTAAATTACTTCCATCATAGCCCCAACTGAATAGGCGAGACAAATACCGTAAAATCGATATTTCACCGACTAATATAGATTGTTCTGAGGGCGCTAATAACATCGATGGCAAATATTCAGCTAAAAAAGCAAAATGTATCTATTTTCAGTTAGAAAATGTTTCAGACATAAGTGAGACGCACATTGTACAATTTACAAATTTGTTCAATTCAAGCAGATTTTTTGAAAAATTTTTTGAAATTTTTTGAAGCTCACCTTCTTTCCAAATAATCGTTATTGTTACTAAATGAGAATTTGTTTTTGATTGTTTTGTTGAAAGCTGTTCTAATTTAGTGTTCCTATAGCCTTTTAACGACGAATGATAGTAATTCTGGATAAATAATGAATCATGAAACATTTCCAGAAATGCAATGAGAGCCAGTGGAGGCTGTTTCGGAGATGCATGAATAACGAGAGGTGCTGATACATGAGTTGAAATATTTGGTATTATGGATGATGATGCTGTCGATGAAACAACAACATTACTTTTGGACTAGAGATAAACAAAACAACAGAATCTGAGTTAAATATGTCACACAATAAGAAAAGGCAGGACGATTGGACGAAGTAAACTTTATTTAATTGACTCTAGCAAATATAATTACTACATAAGCTAACAGCTCCTTTGAATCAGTTCTTTGTTGACATTGTTTCAAACTACTTCAAGAACAGTAAAGACTGTACCACATTACAATAATATCTATTGACTACGCTATGTGATCCAATATCCTACCGCTCACAATAATCTATAATTGTTTATTTCATCGGATAATCGCTTTATTTTAGCGAGTAAATTATCTTGTCGACGTTTAATATCATTCAGAGAGGTGTCATGAGTTTTCTCAGATGGATAAAACTGTTCTGTTTTTAACGATGATAGTAGCGAATTCGTTATAGCTAATGAAGAAAAATTATGCTATGAACAAAATAGCAGAGAAGATACTTGGAGAAAGAAAAAAAGAGGAGCAAAACAGCTTTCATTTATAAAATAATAAAAGGGTTCGTACAATGGTAAAAATCGCACTCGCTATTTCAAGATTAAATCTTGTATCGCAAAATGTTCGTATAAAAGTAAGTCTTGTAGACTTTTTTAAGTCAATTTGCAGGTTGCAAAAAGTAAAATTGAATGATGCTGAGCCTCGTTTCTGCTACAACAGTCTATGATGACTTTTCAGATAGAAATACCAGTAATAATCGCGCTTTTATCGAGAACATGTACATATTACGATGTTGCAGCAGATCGCTTTACGTCCCGATATAACTATATCAAAATAGGGCTCTTGACTCTTGACAAACAAAACTGCAAAAAAGACCTCATCGGTTTAGGAAAAAAGGAGGATTACTCTCCATTTTTAAGAAAGATATAAAACTAATAACGCGTTTTCAGTCAGAAGCGGATTCAATGTGACAAAAAGTAAGTGATATTAATAGTAGAGACTAAGCGGCTTGGTCTCTACTACTAATATCACTTACTTTTCTTTTCAACTTGAGGATCACCGCCTTAAGGCGAAGCGGAACCCAGATAAGAAGTTTTGATTGTTTGGTGAGGCGTGAAATTTTAAGCACACAGAGTTATGCAGTTATGTAACAGTTATTTCTCTCGTGAGACTAATTTAAGTGCAACAAGAATTTTTCTAAGTATTAAAAAGATCATTTGCTCTCTATCACTTTGTGTTTTTGAGAGCTATTAAGAAAATGGTACTTCTCTCTTAATTTATAATTCTCTGTATATCTCTGGTCACAGAAATAAGGATAACTCTACATCTTCTACTTCTGACACCCTGTTCTCTCCTTCTGGCTCAAAAGTCTACAGCGGCATATCTTCCCTGCTATTCATGTTAAAAGAATTTTATTAAAAATTTTAATGGCGAAGTAGAACGAGACGACGAGAAAATTTTACAAAGCAAAGGTAAGACGGAATAAATACCGTTTGGGCACGGTTTTTTCCTGTTTTGGACATACATATGCTGTAAAATATTACTGAATTCATCTGAATTAATTTAATATTTAATAGTTAACATTCTCACAAACAAAAGTAGTTGTCAATGAGATAAAGTTGATTCGGCTCTTTGTGGTCGTCCTCGTCGTTTATCCAAATCTTGTAATCTTGCTCGATCAGCCACTGTATAATATTTTGAAAAAAGAAATACGCCTCGTTTCAGTCTCCGACTAGTGCTACTGTTACTACAATGATACAAATTGGATCCAGAGTTTGGACTCCAGAGGTATCTAACATAGAAGGACATTCAGCTTTATTCCAGCACAGAAAAAAACCTGATTGCTACACTCTAAAAAAAATGCGATCTAGGATCAAATTAAGTCGCATTAATGTGAAAATAAGACACATTAATGCGACTTAATTTGATCCTAAGTCGCATTTTTTTTAGAGTGTATGTTAAAAGTTTAAAGTACTGTTAGGTAAAGTTACACATATCTACTACAAAGGAAATCAAAGCCGAATACATTAAGCCCTTCTGTTCCAGATAGTTCTTTATCACGATGAAAAGAAAAATAACGTCAGATTTTTTCCTGGTTATATCTGGACCAGCTGTTTCACACGCTTTTTATGGAAAATGTTTGATTGGAATGCACGATAGATCTAATATTTGCCCAAAAGCTATTACATCAGAAAAAATCAAATTTTCTCGATTTTTCTGTAAAAATCACGACTTTATGATAAAGTTGGATTTTCTCAATGGAACATTTAAACTTGATTCACACTAGATACCTTTGTAGAGCATGCTATAGAAACATGCGCGATACTTACATTATGTCCTACAAACTTTAGAAAAAAACAAAAGTCGATAAGTGTTGATAGATGATGAATGATAACAGAGGACTGCGAGATATCTCTGAATCCTATATGGAATGAGTGGGATTCATTCTCTCATTGCATTTTCGCCTTTGTTTGAGAATTCGGTATTACCAGAAACCACTGAACAAAAATAAAATCGTATCCAATATGTTGTTATTATTATTATAATTATTAGCACTCGACACGATGTCGTCTATACATCTGGTGAATTATTAATAAAGAAAGGAAAAAACGCAAATAATTAGAAGAGATCTTTTTGTTATGGAGAAATAATGGGTGTTTTCTTGTACCATTGAAAAGAAGAAGAAAAGAATATAAGGCGAGTATGGCTTTTCATCAACCACATGGTGCACGCGAAATACAACTGTACATGTTACAATCATTTTCCAGAAAAATTAACAAACGAATACAAACAAAATAAAGTAATTCTGAGCTACTCTCAGTAAATAAATCAACTGAGTATTTTGCTACAACTACTATATAGCTTAAATATCATCTGTTTTTTCTCTTTTTCATAAGAGCACGCAATTAGTTAAACATGTTAGCCTTGTTTGCCGTCTTTGATCATTTGTCAAATGCTCGCAGAGTTCTAAATCGATATCACTTTTTGTATACATCGTCAACTGCAACACCTCCTACAGCTCCAGTGCTCAAAGAAGAGTCAACATCAATCACAACACAAATCATTCCTACTCAACAAGTGACTATCGATAAAACAAAAAATTATATTGTACACCGAAATAATGTGGCAAACATATCATCGCCCTACAATCAAACATATGAACATAATATACTGCTAACTCCAATCATTTATCACATTATAATTCAACTAAATGATAATATTGTCGAATTATTTGATTCCAATCTACTAGATGATCTTCATGAACAGCATGAGTTAGCACGTGAGCTTGACGCATGCTTATTGGAAATAAAAACAATTGAAAAAGATTTATACAAATTTAAACAACGTCAATGTATTTTGTACGAATCATTTATTGAATTTGTTGATAAAAAGGATAAATTAATTCAATTGTTTATTGATTATCATTCGGAATACTATGGAGATGAGTCGAATACTATAGATGAGATAGGTGAATATATTGAACAAGCACAAAAAAGAAAGAAAAAGCGTCAAACTCTTCGGAGACAATCGACTATTTATGAGTATACAATACCAGTATCAAACAGATTTGAATTGTTGAGAAAACAAAGTTTATTACATACATTATCAATTGATTTTGAGCAAGAACAGTGATGATTTACGTTTTTTTGTTTTACACTGTAAAATTCTTTGAGCCGTAATTAAAATAATTCGGAAAGAAAAGATGTGCTCTTCCCAATACAGAAAAATACAAAATATTTGATTGATTAAGTCTAATATTCATAATTAACAGGAAGTTAGGACAAGTGCGTACAAAAAGACGATATTTAAGCAAGTGTGACAGTGTAGTCTACAAGAAGATTCTTAAATAAAACACTTTCATTATTTTCTTTCTTGTACCTCTTTCGTAAAATCGTAGTATCTTTTAGTGGTCCACACTGTTATGGATGATTACAGTAGCTACAAAACACATACTTGTTTTTCATTCTTCTGACCTGTCATTTCATTTGACTTTTTTTCTGTTATTAATGATGTGTCGTCTTTTTCACCACGAATTTGTTTAAGAGAATACATAGATGTTGGAAGAGAAATGTCGATTTTCTCTGATGAGTGCGGTTTTAAGGAGTACATCTGAAAAATAAAAGAGGTCAAAATGATCTTTCAAGATATTTCTGCTCTCATATCATTGAAAAAACATATACGGTGTTATTTTAATATTTGATACTGCAACTTCACTTTTATTTATGTATTTATGTCCTTTACCTTTCTCTCGAAGTAGAATGTTCGTGAATCCTAAGAATAAGGTTTTATATTTCTGAAAGGAAGTCAGAAAACACCTTGGAAAATGTCAGTATTTTCCAACAGTACAGAGAAAGAAAGTAGTCAAACAGAACTCTTATGATTTTCTGTTTTTGACCCTAATAAGTTTTTTGAGCACAACCTCCATCAGATAGAAGAAAAAGTTACATCTGGAAGTAGAATGCACGTACTGTCTTCCGCTTCTGTGGTAAAGTAATGAATTATGTCTGAACGTTAGGTTCATGACATTTCTTTCCTTGCTGTTTCATGCTGAATGAAGAAAAATGACTGTATCTGATCCGATGCTAATTTGAAAAAAATATTTGTTAAGAAAACTGGCAAGATTACCCAGATATGTAATGGCCTTAATCGATCAATGTCACTGCAATCAATCTGCATGAAACATCAAGCAAAGACTGACGTTCACAGTGTAGTAACTTTCCACATCGATCTAAACTCGTCGGTAATAACCAGTGAATTTGATTAACTAATTCTTTTATTCATTTTTATACCTTATTTTATGCATAAGTTTGTCCGGTCTAATAACTTTTCTAAGAGTGAAACGTAAACTTAAAACACGAAGGGATCGCAAAGCAAAGAAAAATTCGATAACAATTTACTGAAAAATGGAGATCTTTATTGAAGTGCTAGTAGTGGAAGACTTCTTACTATGCCTTCTTTTTTTCCGTACGCATGAGTCTAAAATCGCAAACAGTTGCGAAAAAAATCGTATTTTAAGAAAGACATATAAGAAACTAGACGGCAATCACGCCAGTGAAAGTTGCAAATGCAGTGCGAAGTTAATAACATACAGCAGCTGTACCATATTGATAAAGAAAGTGTAGATTACTTACATATAAAAACATTGTCATGAAATGAATCACATTATGGGAACGTACTCTCTTAAAAATGCACCTGCACATGAATAACTCAGATTAATTATCGTTTTTCATTTGGAAAAAAATTACAAGTCCCAGTCCTTCAAATCACGTACCTTCAAACGTTCTAGTTCTTCACTGGAACATCTGCAAAGACTGAAAATAGCTTATTTATTAATTCAGACACACAGTTTCCTATTTGCGTTTTAAACTTTACTCTACCTCTTCTAGTTCCCGAGAAAATCGTTACAGAAAATGCCACTTTTGTAGAAAGGAAAAACTCAGTTTATTACTATAATGCGGTATTGCTTCGTACCACATTAAAGTTAATTGCTCGACGACATCATTATCAAGAAAATCAAAAATTTTGCTGAAATGTAAGGGGCTTAGGGCACCGGTACATTTTTTCCTAACTACTTCGTTCTATTCAAATCTTCAACGATTTCGTCATCACATCTGTCGCAGACATTTTCTGACTTAGTTGAATAGTCTTGCATTATGGGAAGTATGAACTTACAATAAAGAACTTAACATTCATTCAACAGCATAGTTTTCTGAAAAACCAAGAAAAATCAGCATAAACAATTGAACATTTACACGATGTTTCAGTTTTTTTAAAAAACCAAGAATTGTAAAACAGTTAGGTGACCTCAAATTTGGAATAAAAGCTACTACAGTACAAAGCAACACTTTTTCAATAAGTTAAAGCCTAAAGCGAAAGACAGAAAAGGCGATGAAATACAATCCAAATAATTACTTAAGCTATTTAGACAGAATTTTTGCTAGTCAAACAGAAAGCAATTCTCTTCTATTTTATTATCTCAGACCTTAAAAATGTTAATCACTTTTATCTTCAATTAGTCACTCGAAGAAGACATCTATCTGGGTCAACGTTGGTAATAACTCGGAGAAGCTGCTATTTGGAGCTAAACAAGAAATGTTTATGTGTAAAGAAAATGAATAGTTTTCTCGTTCTTTCGTTCTTTTTTGCTACATTGGATAAGAGTGTATCCCAATCAGCGCATTACAACTCACCTCTTCTGTTTAAAAATATTCAGATTTGGCCTAATTGAATATAATATCGACTGATGATAGTAAACCCTTTTTTCCTAATGCGTTCGAAACGAGAAATTTACTATGCTCAAAATTCGAGGATGTCATACGTTACATTACATTAAATGCCAGTCTGAGAAATTAATCAGTTACAGCGAATATATTGTATCAGACAACAAAAAAGTCAGAAATCTGTTTTGATATCAATGATATAATATTTTTTCCAAAAAAAAAAATGAATGACTAGAAAAAAACAGCAAAAACAAGGCAAAAAAAAAGAAGCTAATTAATCTATTACACTGAATGGTAATTATATTTGAGAATATGAATAATAAATTCCTTGTCATTTCTTGTTTCTTCTCCACACATTTTACATTTCCACGGATTTTCATCGCATGTGTGTAGACGAGAATGTAATTCAAATGTTTGTTTATCAAAAAATGACAATCGACAATGATGACATGGATAACCTGATTTATTTTCATCATTCAAATTTCCATCAACAATCTTTTTGCGTTTTTGTTTTTTTGGAGATATTGGTGATGAGGTGGCAGCATCATTCGAGGTGGATGCTGTTGATCCAGTTGTTAAATTTAGAAGACCATCAACAGAATACGAATAGGGAATAAATCCATTTGAACTTGTTGGCTGCGAATGAGATTGATGAGCAGCTATGGGAGTTGGAGGAGTGGATGATTTTAAAGTATTGGATACACCTAAAGATCGACTCGAGGATGGTGTAGTAGTATTAACGGCAGAGTTTTCTGTTGATGAAGATATTGTTGTACTAGTGGTGGTGTTCATAGAAGAAGAAGCTACCGCATTGAACATTGGAATAAATGTACTTGGAACGAGACCAGAATATAGAGCAAACGGCGGATAAGCAAAACTAAAACCAGGAAATGGCAAAAATGGATATGCTTGATTTGTTGATGTATCTCGTCGGACTTGTTGTTGTGGTACGGGTGGTTGACTGAGTGATACAGATGCTTGTTGTTCTCTTGGCCGTTGTAAAATATTCGATTCACTTTTACGTTTTTTAGCTGCTGGAGAGGAGAGGGGTAATCGTGATGGTACTACGTTATTTCGAGGTGTTAGTGTGTGTCGGATATTATTATTTTTCTTAACGAATTCGATTGAATCAAAATCACCACCATTAAATTGATCCGGTTCAGGTACTGCTTGTGCATTAAAATTGTAACTAAAATGAATAGAGAATATTCTATTTTTTCAAATGGAAAGTAATAATGAAATCTAACCATACCCTGGTTCTAACGTTGAATGTTGTTTATCTGGATGCATTTTGGTTAAATGATCTCGAATTGAACTATGATGCATACAAGAATAATCACAAAACTTGCAATAATAAACTTTAACACGAACGTGAACACGAAAATGGACTTTTAAATTGGATTTACTTGAACATACCTATTTATTTGAGAGAAAATAAATGAGACAATAAATATCAAACAGTTAATATGAAGCAGTTTCTTACTTTTCCACATAGTGTACATCTCCATTTATTCGTTTTATTATGTATAACTTCAATATGATGTCTTAAATTTGATTGATTAGCAAAACTTTTTCCACAATATTTACAAACGGGTGAAATATTTTCTTTTTCATCACTTGACCATCCGTAACTTGGTGGTGACGTTGTATTAGTATCATCTGTATGCATATGACGGGTACCGTCATTTTCTCGACTGTCCTCACTATCTTCACTATGAGAATAAGTGTTGTTCATATCTTCTATATATCGCGTCTAAAAAGAAAAAATTTATTAGACAGTGTACTCAGTAACTATTTATGGGATGTTGAATCAACCGCTGACTCTGAACTCTAATCGAAAAATATTTAATGTCCAATCTCAGAGTAACATTTTGAGAATATTACCTTGTTTGCACAAAATGTCCTTAAAAGTATGAAAGAAGTAATAAAATAAAAACGTTTTAATTTTGGCTTATTTACGAGCTTACTCAATTTGTCTTACTTATCTACTCTTATGTACACTTTTGTCGATCTACTTTGAATTTGCCAAGGACTAATAGTCTATTCAATTGACGGTCAGTTATACACAGAACGTTCCAATAGTGAAAAAAGTAATTGTCAGATAGCAAAATAATTATCATCATATGAAATATCTTAAAAACTTTCATTTCTTTCTTTCTATGTATATATAGATATATATATGTGTATGTATATTATATATTATAAATGAGCTTAAATAATTAACTGATTCAAATGTTGAGTTATTTTCTCTCAATTCTGCACAGATAAATGCTAACAAAATGGTACACCATCACTAATCGACTTATTCTGTAATATATACACTTATTATCGCACTAATCATAGACCCTTTGAATAATACCAATTAGTTATACTTCACTCAAGTGGAAAATGGAGTGTTAGTTTAATTTCACAAGAGGGACAGTCTCTAAACACTCATTTCTACTGCCATTGGAGTTGTATTGTTCCATAAAGTAATTGTATTATATAAAACTATATACATAATTTTCCAAAGATTTATAAACTTCTCTTATACGTTAGGTATGTTTCATTATTACTAGAAATAAGCCCGAATACTAAACAAAATATAGTCTAAATATGATATTCAGTGTCGAAAGAGAGTGAATCTTCATGCCTCCTATCACACTTAATTCCCTAACAGTATCACGATAAGGTTCTTTTCTCCAAGAGACTGTTCCGAACTGAAAACACAAGTTTTTTATGGATAAAGAAAAAAAGAATAAAAATTAATTTAAGGAAAAAAGTTGATAAATAGGCGCCGGTTTCGGTTTTTAATCAGTTAATCGATATAACAAGAAGACTTTTTTATTTGCACATATTCTTGAAAATACATCTGAAACAGCATGAAGGAAACATCTGGGAATGTTGGACGCAACACTTTTCATGCAAATTTAAGAGAAAAATTATTATTTTAAAGATATAATTTTTTTATTGAAAAATTTTACTTTTTTTCAGATAACTTTTTCCTTAAATTTTCATTAAAACTTTCGAGTATAAAAAAATGATCATTGTGCAACGATGAACATTTTCTCCTCTAGCATGAACATTCCCAATTGTTTTCTTCACGCTGTTTCAAATGTATTTTCAAGAATACGTACAAATAAAAAAGTTTTCTTGTTATATCGGTTAACTGATTAAAAACCGAAACCGGTGCATGCCTAAGGCGGCCACTTTTGGTAAGAGCATTAATTTCAAGTAACTAAATGATATTTAGGCTTAATGAATAAAATAAGAAAATAAGAGCTGAGTTAGACGACAGTTAAAATGTTTTAAACGTGTTCATATTTAGAGACAGGTGAGCCTTATCACGACTTGAACTCGAAGCGAAAGCTTGAAAAACTAACTTTTACATGTAGAAAGATATTAAACTTTAGAAAATGTTCTGAGTTAGTTTCTGATGCCACTCAGGCTTTTGACTTATACTTAAAACCTTGTAACTCAGACTTGAAAAGTGGTGATTCGCCCACTTCTGGCGACAGATCAGTAGCCTAGATATGAGATTAAATATTATTAATAGATACCAAGTCATCGTGCTTTTGTAGAATATCTGTGCAGTTTTATCCAACTGTATTTATATCACTTACCGTATCTATCTTCAGTATTTAAACTCGTTGACGATATACACACGTTGTTATTGATGATGAAAATGTCAAATTGATTTTTTGTCTTTTTGTTATGTAATGTAATGTTCTATTATTTTCAAAATTCTATCTGTATCATTAACGCACCATCCTTCAATATGAAAATAATCGTTTGTGTGTCTGATAGTGCATATCGTTCTAATGTAATATTTCTCGAACAGCGTGTGTTTTTGACTTATTATTCTATAATTGAACGTATTTATTTAGTTTTTTTAATTCTGTTCGATGCCAATTGGTTCTTGCTGGTTGAAGGCAATTAACAATGTGTCATCTGTACATATACACACTATATCAGCATAATATTCCTGTCACCAAAAAAAAAATTGATTGGAACAATTCACTATTTTTCTTTTTTTCTTCGTATGTATAGTCATAGAGATGTTTTCTGATGTGTATCAGTTCCTCTCTCTCTCTCCTCCCATTATCGCCGCATATTGAACTGATGTTCTTCTTTATTCATTATTGGCTTTACTCATTGACACAGATCAGTTGCTGCTGTCACAACAACATACCTCTCCTGCATTTTTTTTTCTATTGACAAAAATAAGACATGGGGTATGTGACAGGCTTTTCGATCAATTTACACTTTTATTAAAAAACAATTTAAATTATTTTTGCTTCCACCTTTTCTTTCTCGCTGATGACAATGATGGGTGATAAGATTTCTTTCTTGGTATAAAACAATTAGCAATCTGACAAAAATAAGACTGATATCAAGTGTCAATGAAGGAGGACCTAAAATGAAAAATAAGCAAAGGTGGAAATTGTACTCATTATCGACGTGTGTTATGATAACAGTTATTTTGTCCATATACCAAATTTTCATTAACAGCATTTAGACGTACGTTGGTCATATGTGTTGCTACAATCTCCATGAGATATTTATTCATTGGACCATTCATTTTATGATCACGAAATCTTTTAACACGGTCACATGCATTAAACTAAAGAGATAATTTTCGAATGTCTCATCATGTATTGATTGTGTACTATAAACGAAAATGCTTTAACTTTTAACTGATGTCAATGGATTAAATCGCTAGAGAAAATATGATAAGTTTGAATACGTTTAATGCATTTGCAAGTATTTTATTTTTCAACTGATTTATTCTTATCTTAAAAAAAGACACTGTTTTTTTTGTTACGCTAAAATATATTGTTTGAAAGTTTTCCATTAAAATTTCATTAGAAAAAAAATACATCTGATCATAGATCTAATGAAGATTGAAAATTTAAAAAAATATTAAACTGATACTTCAATCGCATTACTACCAGTGACATTCTGTTTGTGGATATATAAATTCATTATTCTAATGGAATACTAGAAAATTTCAACACCATGATTTAAATTTTATAGAAAATTGCAATTGGAATCGCACAATTAACTTCGATTCATATGTCCTAAAAAAGAGTTATCCTTTGGTGGCCCTATCGTTGTTAAAAGAGTCATAATATAAATATTCCTTTATGCATGTTTTACTATTGTTTTAACAATAAAAAATTTGAAGTTTTTGATGCAAAGTTTACCAAGGAAATGTGCGTATTCTCCAACTATATCACTTCATTCTATCTGTGAGTAGACATAATGGAGTTACACAGAAGCCAGATAACATCCCTACTCGTACACATCTTCACTTACACAGTCACCACTACAGACAGCCATACTACTATCAACTTTCACTATTTGTCTTTTATTTGTTTCAAATATATTCCTTCTCTTGCTTGTCTTTACGTAGTTTAGTCTTTGATTGTTAAAAATATTCTTTTTTTCTCCTAAACTGTTTTTTTTTATTTCCGAAATTTGTTCTATTATATTTTTGTCTTTCATGTTAAAACTTTATTCTCTCTTTTTTTACTATTAGCCTAGATGTTGTCATTGTTGCATGTTTGTTCTTCCATCTCTCTTTTACAGTGCCATGTAATGGGAAAAACTTGACTTAGACCCATTTGTTTTTCAATGAAAAATTTGTTTCAAATGAAAGATTGAAGACTTTTCTATTTCTAATTTTATTGACAGACTGATGTTTCTTCGAGGCGAGATGCGAAAACTTTTCTATACATATAAGGAAATGTATCAATCTAATTGAGAAATATTAGATAAAACTAGATTTTATGTTCGATGAGAAATGTATTCTAAGTAAATTGAAAATACATTGATACATATGAATAAGGATCTTATTGTCTAAATGTGAATTTCAACAGCTTTATCTTCCAAAAGTGTCTTGATACAATATACTTTGACACTTGAATTTATTCATGCCTATGTATAGTCGTAGAGGTGTTTACAATCAATGACGCTCAAATAAAACATTAAAATAAGCTTATTGTGTTTATTTGTTTGTAAAATTTAGATATAAAAAAGTTTCACTCATCTTTTTTCTAATATAAACAACAGACAAGATCAGGCATGGCATCAAGACTATTGCTCAATGACACCTTTTTCATAATGAATTTTAAAATTATGATCATCCGTTTTCATTCACACCATATATATAACACTGTTATGAATTCAGAAAAGTGAAGAAAAATAAATTAGTTATAGCTACCTGAATCGATTAACATATATTCACAGATTTTAAACAGGATTTCATCAATATAACAATATGTTCAAACTCTATCCAAATTGTTTCTCAAAAAGTATATTATTTACTCTGATCGATTAAAGAAATATTGCTGGCTAACACTCACACCTAAATCTCTCGGCACATTTAATATTCTTTCAGATTTTAGAAAATAAATACACAAAATATCAGTTAGCTCATTCAGAAAATATTCTACACTGGATTTAACTTTCAATCGAATGTATCAAAACATTATCCGAGAAACAGATCCATTCTATTAAATTAAATGTTGGATTTGTTTTTAGTATTAATTATTATTTGATCGTGCTTCTTAATATTTTATTTAGAATCAAATATAGTACACGTGTTGTTATGTATTTAGATATGGATTCATTTGCACTTAAATTTCTTCTTTAGCAAGTGCCTTTTTGATAAAATAACCGATAATGATTTGTTTTTAATAATAAAATTTATCTGATGTTTCATGCCAATAATATAGAAATGACTTGTTTTTA